AGAAAAGTTTCATCCCCCCCATCAAAGTAGGTTTTCTTCACGGTATCCCAGATTTCTTTGGCGGTACTAAAACGGATGAACCGACCCATCAAGTCTGGAGACATGGAGTCGATGAGCCACCCTTTGACCCGAAAGTTCGCCGTACACCATTGGTTGTAAGTGGAGGAGGACTTAGGGGGCTGCGGAGTGTCGCCGGTGAGGTACCCCAATTTTTCGTGACTAGCAATACGTAACTCCATGACCTGAGACCATAAGGCATAATTGGTCTCTGTCAAGGTGATGCCGGTAGGAAACGGAGCGTTGTCACTCTGAATAGTAACAATTTGGGGGGATGAGGAAGTGGATTCGGTGGTTTGGGAAACGATATCCATGGCAGCGGAAGGAAAATGGGTAGGGTGTCGGGGTAGTGTTTAGGGTTTCGGGATACAGGATTCAGGATTCAGAGTGTGTTTAGGGTTTCGGGGTGTGCAGAGCCGGTCCATTAGATATGGAGGCCCTGTGCGAAGAAAGCTGATGAGGCCCTATATGTATAAGTAAAATAACAATTTTTCAAATTTTAAAATTCATAAATCATAAATATATTAAACCGAAATCATTATGTGGCATCAATTACATTAGACAAATAGAATCAAGATCATCCTTCGTCTATTTTCACACACTCGCATCTATTCAATTTTCTTTTACATACAAAAAAACTACACCCAGCAAAATGAAGCAAAATACTTCAAAACCAGCAACACTCAAGAACCCAAGCAAGTACAATCATCAACCAGCAACCAAACCAGCTACAGAATCATCTCAAAATTGTCCTCCTTGCATTTTGAGCTGCAAAATCATTAATAAAACGAGTACAATCAAGTTATACTTGCCAATATATGTTACAGCAGCTATTATTCTTATTAATACACCCTTCCAATGTTCTTTCTCTTTATTAATAAGCTGTTGAACATGTTTATCAATTGTAACATTTTTTTGCAATCTCATTTGCAAATCAATCCAAGTGTTCATGTTAATCATGTGCTCACCACTTGTTTCGTGTTCTTTAAGTCTCACACTAAGGTGTACCCAATCATTAAACCCCTCATTAGCTAAAGAGTTTATTTTTGGGCTCTTATTAAAAAACTTGCAACAAAAGCAAAACACCTTATCCAAATGCTTGGAATACACCAGCCATTCCCTATCATACTTATCTCCATTTGATAAATAACGAGTGTAAAACGTTGAGGAGAAATGTCTAGAAAATTTATCACTAGGTCCCTTCTCAATTGATAGATCTCTTCTTGGACCATTTGCCAATAATTCATCTCTTGATTTTGAATCTAGACCATCCCAAGTCCTAGGATCATAAATATCTAAAGGAATAGATTGACTTGGTTGTTCCTCCTCATTGATTACATTATCATTTTCAACATGAGCATGACCTAAGTTTTCCACATTTTCATTAGCATGTTCATCATGACCTACATTTTCAAGATTTTCAACTAAACCTTGTGGTTCTTTAATAATGAATTTATCAAGAGCACCTCTCTGAGATTGAGTTAATTCTTCAACTCTTCTCTTTTGTTGGCGCTTACTATATCCAGATGAGTGTTTTCTTTTAAACATTTTTCTAATATAGCAAAATAACACACATCATAACAAAAAAAAAGAGGACAATAGAACCTGATTTTTGCAGCTTTCATCTGATTTTGATGGTTTCACCTGATTTTCACAAAACAAAAAGTCTGTTAAAATAATTACAAAAACAATATATGAAAAGCATTGACAAATTAGGGATAGAGATTCACCTGATTTTTTAGGTTTCTTCTTGCAATCATATGATGGCTAATTCCAAATGCAACATATAATTTCTAAATTCTAATATGAGAGAGAGAGAGAGAGAGAGAGAGAGAGAGAGGTGTGGTGGAGACTTGAGAGAAGAGATGCACATAGAGCGCCTTTTGAGTTGCCAAAGAGTAAAGGAGATTTGTGTTTGGACGGAAGATGGAAGAAGAATCAAGAAGGAACAATCTGCTGTCCGTTAGGAAATAATAGTAATATTTTTGGAATAAAAAAAATATAATATATTGCTGGGTTGCTGGGCTTTTTAAAACATTTGGAGGCCCCTAAATTTTGGGGGCCCTGTGAAGAAGGAACAATCTGTCCAGGAAATGATAGTAATATTTTTGGAATAAAAAAATATATAATATATTGCTGGGCTTTTTAAAACATTTGGAGGCCCCTAAATTTTGGGGGCCCTGTGAAGAAGGAACAATCTGTCCAGGAAATGATAGTAATATTTTTGGAATAAAAAAATATATAATATATTGCTGGGCTTTTTAAAACATTTGGAGGCCCCTAAATTTTGGGGGCCCTGTGAAGAAGGAACAATCTGTCCAGGAAATGATAGTAATATTTTTGGAATAAAAAAATATATAATATATTGCTGGGCTTTTTAAAACATTTGGAGGCCCCTAAATTTTGGGGGCCCTGTGAAGAAGGAACAATCTGTCCAGGAAATGATAGTAATATTTTTGGAATAAAAAAATATATAATATATTGCTGGGCTTTTTAAAACATTTGGAGGCCCCTAAATTTTGGGGGCCCTGTGAAGAAGGAACAATCTGTCCAGGAAATGATAGTAATATTTTTGGAATAAAAAAATATATAATATATTGCTGGGCTTTTTAAAACATTTGGAGGCCCCTAAATTTTGGGGGCCTTGTGCGGTCGCACAGCCCGCACATGCTATGGGCCGCCTCTGGGGGTGTGTTTAGGGTTTCGGGATTCAGGATTCAGAGTTTCAGGATTCAGGGTTTCGGGATTCGGGATTCAGGATTCAGGGATTCAGGATACGAGGATACGGGTTCGTGGTTCAAGGAATTCGATACGAGGGATTCGGGTTTCGAGAAATTCAATACGAGGATTTAGAGACAACCTAGGAACGATTGCTCTGATACCATGCTAAAATATGAATACGGGATTTCAATATGTTCAGATACTTTATTCTTCTCCATAAGGAGGTATATATATGGGTTTACAGAGTGCTTTACAAGGAATAAGATACAATCAGGGATTAGGAAAGAATCTCCTAATTATACACAGATTTGTCAACTAAATGGAATGGGAAAGTAAATCCCTTAATTAATCAAGGAAATAATTCTCCTTGATTAATTAGGAGACTCACGTCAACAATAACCACCTTTCATTGTACTATTTCAATTATGTTAGTTTGTTTTAGAAAAATATTGTTGTATGTGACAATAGTACTATGTCAGCATGTAACATCACGTGACATACCGATAATTTATAAAAGTCTTATTTATGTACATGACCCCTATGTTTTCAAACTTGTCTCAGATTACCACATGAGCTTTGAAACGTCTCAAAATACCCCCCACACTTTTAAAAACGGTCTCACGTTACCCATTCCGTCAGTATTATAGACATTCCGTTACGTGCTTTGGGCCCAACTTCGTTTTAATCCTTAACATTGGAGAATAAGGGTTTTTTCAGCTTCAGAAAAGGGGAAAGGGGGTATTTGGGTGAGAAGGGGAAATTTGGTTTTGCTAGCAATTTCAGGTTTAATTTATGTCATAAGAAGGAAGGAAGAAGAAGTTTGCAGATCTGCTTGAAGATTGGGAGCTTGAGTATGGGCCTCAAAGGTTTAAATACAAAGAGTTATATATGGCAACAAAAGGGTTTAGGGAGAAGGAGCTTTTGGGAAGTAGGGGATTTGGTAAGGTCTATAAAGGCATATTACCTTACTCCAAAACTGAGATTGCAGTGAAGAGGGTCTCACATGAATCAAGACAGGGGATGAAGGAGTTTGTTGCAGAAATTATTAGCATTGGCAGACTTCGTCACCTAAGTTTAGTACCACTGTTGGGATATTGCAGAAGAAAAGGGGAGCTGCTCTTGGTCTATGACTGCATGCCTAATGGAAGCCTGGACAAATACCTATACGACCAACCAGTGGTCACTCTCAATTAAAATACCTATACAACCAACCAGTGGTCACTCCAAATTTCCTCTTTCCCCTTTTCTGAAGCTGAAAAAACCCTTATTCTCCAATGTTAAGGATTAAAACGAAGTGGGGCCCAAAGCCTGTAACGGAACGTTTATAATACTGACGAAATGGGTAACGTGAGACCGTTTTTAAAAGTGTGGGGGGTAGTTTTAGATGTTTCAAAGCCCAAGTGTTAATCTGAGACAAGTTTGGGGCATGTACATCAATAAGCCTTTATAAAAATAATATTACCATGCGATGTTTTATTATTGCACATTATAATACCATGTGGTTTATAAATGATACACAAAGATTAAAGGGTGAGGAAAAAACAGGCATCAACCCCACCATTTGCACAAAGATATGATTTGATTTCTAACAGAAGTTCCAGATTAGTTATACAAACAAGAAGAGTAAAATGATGCCGTTACAGGGGCAATAATGAAGCCACTTCAGCTCATCTTTTTGGGTAAAGCCAAAAAAGCTAATGGCCAAGAATGCTCATTGGCAGCCACTAATTTTTAAACATTCAAAAAATGCCAAAATTTTATATAAAAAAATTTGTTATTTCAGATAATATAAATTAGGCTTTTTATCACAAATAATCTTTCATATTTACAAAATTATCACGAATCATCCTTCACTCACCCTTCTTGTTGCTACCCATGAAGTTGGAAACCGCATCAGAGCAGACCAGTACAGTACAAAAATTAAACATTTGAAAACCTATTGAACCGTTGGTAGTAACATTGGGCGCAAAAACATATAAACAACTTGCAAGTTGGAGAATTAAAAACATTGGGAGAATAAACTCTGACCGAAGAAAACTGGATTAGGAACATTTTAAAAACAATTGGACCGTTGGTTTTAACATGGTAAAACGGTCAAATTAGTAAAATAAAAAGAAAGACAAAAAACAAAATAATGTTACCCTCGTGAAATTTGTTATAAAAACCAAAGCTGGCATGGCAGTGAGGATTATTACTTCACCAAGCATTTTTCAGTCTTGCCACTAGCTTTCAAGCGCTGCTTAGATCATATTTCCTGGTTGTTTGGTCAAGAATCATATACTTCTCTGCTGTGCCATTTGGATTTCATATTGTCCTTTCGTTTTTCTACCACCTTTCAGTTTCTGACTCCAACATTACATCAATGGTGTTGAAGTGAGTCTCCTAATTAATCGCAAATGGCTGAAGCACTCGTTTCCGTAGTCCTAGAACAGTTGGCTTCCCTCACTCGTAAACAGATAGAAGAAGAAGTGAGGCTGGTCGTGAATGTTGACAGAGAAGTTGAAAATCTCATCTTCCATTTCAATGCTATTCAAGCTGTGCTCCAGGATGCAGAGGAGAGGCAGGTGAAGGAGAAGAGCGTCAGAACCTGGCTGCAGAATCTGGAGGATGTGTCGTACGACATAAACGACGTCTTGGATGAGTGGAACACTGAAATTCTCAAGCACCAAATTGAGAAAGAAGAAGAGAAAGAAGGTAAAAATGTTGCCCTTACAAAAAGAAAGGTATGCTTCCTCATTCCTTCCCCCAGCGTTTGTTTTGGTTCAATTGGTAAGGTAATTATGCGTCGTGACATTGCTGTGAGAATAAAGGAAATAAATGAAAAGTTAACTGAGATAGCCATTTTAAGAAATAATTATAACTTTCAGAACACAATTAGAGCCACTGAGAAACTTGAACGGGTTGAAACTTCTTCTTTTGTCCAAGTGTCTAGTATAATTGGTCGTGAAGAGGAGAAAAATAGATTGATGAGCATGTTGTTAAGTGAGAGTAGTCAACAAGGGGGGAGTCCATTTGTTGTGATCCCCATTGTGGGGATGGGAGGATTAGGAAAAACTGCCTTTGCCCAATTAGTCTTTCATGATGAAAATATAAAAACTCATTTTGACACTAGAATATGGGTTTGTGTGTCAGACCCTTTTGAAGAGATCAAGATTGCCAAAGCCATTGTTGCAAAGCTAAACAATGGTGATAATCGAATTAATTCAACTAGTTTGCAACCTTTGTTGGAATGTATACATGAATATATTAGTGGTAAAAAGTTTTTCCTTGTTCTAGATGATGTGTGGAATCCAACCATTAGTAATTGGGAACCATTAATGGGAGCTTTACAAAATAGTGCTATAGGCAGTAGAATATTGGTAACCACGCGAAAAGAGACGGTTGCAACTAGAGGTGTCAAACGGGCTGTGCCGGGCCGGCCCGTCCCATTTAAACTCGTGCTTTTAACATTTTCGTGCCGTGCCGGGCCGGCCCAGTTAACTTAGCGGGCCGTGCCGTGCCAGCCCATTTAGTAAAATCATAAATCCCAGCCCGGCCAAAAGCCCATGTCCAAATTGAAACGGACCGGGCCGAGCTCGTGCCGTGCCCGTGCTCGTGCTCGTGCCATACTCGGGCCCAAGAACCAACCCATTTAATTTGAATTTTTTTTTTCCCTTGATTTTTTTTCCACTACATAATTCATATTATAAACATAAAAAATATAATTAGAAGCAAGGAATGATGAACTATTTAAAAACATTAATCAATCAAACACCTAAACAATATGAAAGTTTGGAGGGCAAAAAAATAGCCTCATTAAAACCTTGCCTTAAAAAACCCCCAAAGGAGGAAAATCAGATCAAGGAAAAAGAGTACCATTGTCCTCCCAAATTACACAAAATGGAAAACAAAATTAATCT